CAAGCCTGTGTTTTGACAGGCTCATGTTGAAACCAGATAATTCCGCCATCAAGCCCACTACACCACCACAGTATCTCTCTGCTTATACAAGCACTTAGGGATTAAAAGCAAATAAATATAAAAACACCACAGTATTTGTTGAAACATACCAGGGTGGTCGAGCTTTAAAAACATCTCCTCCAGCAGATGAGTATGGTACATTGGGTTCATTATCACATGCCACAACACATGATATTTCCTACTTGAAACTGAGCCTAAGACCAGAATATCTAGTTTTGATCAGAACTGTTGTGAACATGAAAACAAACTACACTTGCCATTAACTTTGAAAATACAAAAGAGATGCAGAAGGTGGTGAAAGTAATTTATCTGTGAGTTAATAAATATAAGCAGTGTTAGAAAATTTTATACTTAATGTGGTACAACTGAAGAATATCATCATGGAGAAATTTCTATTATTTGCTACATGGAAGTAGAAGCGAATAGTTTAAACTTTTATGGATTGTGAAACAACAACAGCCCATGCAAATCTAAGTGAAAGTGTTATCTTCTCCAAATAAGTGTTTGTATGGCAATACTGAAAGTGAGCGACTAAAAATTCAGCTGCACAGAACTAAACCTTAGAGCTACAAAAAAGCTTCATTGCTCCTCTACTCTCTACCTACAACAGGTAGTACAGGAGCTGAAGCTTTCAGGCAGTGTAAATTCAAAAAGCAAAGACAAGGGATCACAATGCATAAAGTACAATGTAAAAATGGTCCCACGTTCTTTAATGAACACAGATAAGCATGAGCACCAGCAATGCTGTACCTATTAGAAAGGGCTAGGCAAGAAGTCTACATAGATACTACTGAGAAAAGCTTTTTAAGCACACAAATTATATCCACAAAATACAAATTCAAATACAGTCCCAAAGCAATAACCTACTATTTTTCTTTGCACAGAAAAAAGACAAGCATTTTATTAAAGTAAGATCTGTTTGGGTTTGGGGAGCTACTTAACTGATCCATTGTAAGCTAAGACAAAAGTTACTAAAGATTTGGAATGTAACTGCAGTCGATGCTGCCATTTAATTTGCTTATTAAGGCAAGTATTTAAGAAAAAAAAACAACTTACAAAACTCAAGCATAGAAGCAACTTTCAAGAATATATTTATTACTTCAGAATCAAGATAATATTAGCATCAAATAACAGTGCATCACCCACCTAATGCCTCCAACTGCAAACATTAAATGAATGCAGGTGTTGGACTGAAGAACAAATTGAGTAAAGCTAAATAGCTGGCAGAAATAAGGATGACTAACTGGAACAAAAGAAAACATACATCTGGAAAGCACCACACTTGTGGCAATAATGTTCAAATACAGGCGGAAAGTTAAAATTCAGATGTCTGTATGAGCAAGCAGTATCAGTTGTCAGAGAGTTAAGATCTCACAAGGTTAAGTGCAGCTTTTAATGAAGGAAAGCATTTTCTCCTGTTTCTTCCCATTATGAAAGGACAGGTGTACTCACATACAATAATACAGTGGTGCTATCTGAAGTCAAATGACAACTAAAACTCTCCTCAGTTTTTCTGCTCTTCTAAGTAACTCTTATCAGCAGATTATTTTTTAATCAAAAACATTAATAAAAATATCTTTGCATTCCAGGCCTTTAAGATATGAAAATTAATAGCTATATACTGCAAGTTGCTTAAAAATGTTTAAATGTTTGTGTGCAATCTCAAAGAAACTGAGTACAAGCAACTCCATGGATTTCGGTTGGTGCTAAAGACACTGACGATCTTAAAAAGTAAAAATCAATAAAACACAACAAAAAATCCACAACCCAATACATGTTTTAGAATTCTTAGAGATGCCTACATAAATACAGTACTACCCTCAGTTTACTAAATGTCTCTGAAAATAAGACAAACAAGGTGTCCAAATATGGAATTTTATCACCCAAGTTTGTTAAGATGCAACTCTAACACATCAGAATTCTAAAATCCAAGCATAGATTCACAGCAAGAAAGAAAAAAAAAAATGAAAAAAACCCACGCACACAAAACACAAGATTAGTTTCATGTTAGGTTGTGTCCCACTCACAATTTCAGAGATAGAATGACAATGTTTAGTGTTATCATAACTCTCAACTTATTCTGAAATAAGGTAAATGCCTGAGGAAGAGACATTTTCTAGCCCCAGTAGGAACCAAACAAAATCCCTCACAGTGAATTCTAATCAGACACCAGCAGCACAGCTAGCTGATCCACAGTGAAATGAATATGACAGACTGGAAGATATTATGTCAGTGGTAGAAATTACTGCAAGTATACGAATTATATCTGGAGAAGAGAAGGAAATTGCATAGAGTTTGACAGTACATGTAATCTATCTTAAATGATACAAAGTAGAGTAATTTTAAAGGATTAAAATACATCTTTAAAGTTTACTATCTTTGAGAAACCTGGGGCAGCCTCTGTATTTTGCTTCTATCTGTGATTTACAGGGTCCTATTCTTTACTAGTCTTCCTCCAATTTGTCTGCCAGATCTGATTACCAGATGGCTAAAATAAATGTATTGTGTTCATTCATGGTAACAGAAGTTGTCTTTAAGGGTTTTGTCACGGCTTTGCTATCTTTTCTTTTGTACCTACTTCTCCCTCTGCGAATTGATTAGATTTCAGAGCTAAGTTTCATTTGAGGGCCATTCTGCTGAATGCTGCATTGTAAAGCATATTATCTATTCTAGGAAGCACATACAGATGACCACAGGATACCACAGACCTGTCCTAAAGCAACAACTGCCCTACTCTGTCAAGAAAATAGATTGTTTGATAATCTCAGGACACAGATTTCCAGAATAAGAATCTGTCACTAACACATATTCTAATGCAATCCAAGAAACAGATGACAGTTGGATAGAAAGAAGGAAATGGAAAGCAACATATACACAGTGCAAAGCCAAGGAAGGGAACAAGACTAAAGTGAAGACCGACAACAGTAGACAAATTAATGACTCAGAGAGCTACCCTGTACCTCAGGAGTGGTAATTGTTCACTACATGGTTTTGTTTAATCTAGTAAACAGCTATAAACCTGCAAGTAAAGAAGCTAAATGAAAGAAATGGGCACGAATGCACTGCAGCATGAGGGAACACGTACAGTTCTAAACTTTGTCTCCTTTCCTTAAGTAAAGTTACACATAGAATCAGTAATCTGAAGTGATAACACTGTCCTAGAAATCTCTTAGATGTACTTATCCTTGAATGCTTTTGCTACAGGTGTGAATCGGGTTCTTAAACCCAACAGATCTCCTCCTGCAATCAGATGTTCCCTTAATCTGGATTTCATTTTGCAAATATTTAATACAATCTATTTGTACTTCAGTGTTATTTATTTATTCATTAACATATGCCTATCTTGGGTTTTATTTTCAGTTTAGTACAATAATTCTCAGTCTCTGTCAAAGCTTGGATGCCCTAGAACTGGCGTCTGAGGAACAGCTTTTAATATACATGAAAATCAGTGTAGTGAATCACCTAGTCAAAATTTAAATGATCAAACTGACTGTGCACAGAAGAGTGGCTTCAGAACTAAAACAAGATGAAGGCTACATCTTAAAAATCCCAAACCTGTTTTTCACCTCATGTAACATTTCCCACTTTTCCTGAAGCATCTCCAGTAAGTTTATTTTTTTCTAAATTCTGTATCAGAAGCTTCATTGGTAATTACATATAAGCATGGTAAAATTGAAAAAAACCACCAACCCTTCATGCAGTATAGCTTTTGGTAACATTTATTATTCTTCTTTACTTAAACTATACTCTTAGCCTTTCAACATTTTTTCAGCCAATAGTATTAATTGCATTTGGAACTGATGGAGATGTAATCATTGGGAAATAAATAACTCAGAACACTTGAAAAACAGAAATAAAAAAATGAGTAGAAAATACACCTACGTATTTTTTTAACCGCGGCACAAACATACAGTCATAGCAGTGGGATGTATTTGCTTTGTACACTGAGAAGGTTATAAGTATTTTTTCGACAGTTATAAAGGGGCAGTCTTGGCCATACGCAAGAATCAATAACAACCATGTAAAGCCTACAGCAGTGCACGCTAACAGGCTGTAGGAGACATTAACACTAGCTAAAAGAAATAACTGTATTTTCAATAAACTTGTTCCTCCCAGATAATCAATTTTTTACAGCTCTTACCAGCTGTTCCCACATAGCTCAGGTACCGGAATGGAAGCAGCTGTCATACAGAATCCATATATTACACGCATGTTATGAGGTTTTAATCTGTCATAGATGTTTTATGTTTGCTAATTTTGATCAGTCATATCAGCTTGAGTGCAAGATGAAAACAAATTCACCACTTCTATTTAGGCAAGATGTAATCTTCACAAATACACTAATCTGCCTTGATTCATTCTGGATGGTAAAAAAAGAATACTAATTGTGAATCGACTAATGCCCCATCCTCAAATCCTCTTTATTCCAGAACTAAGATTTCATCATTAAAATCAGTTTGCCCCACCGCCCACATTCAAGAGATTTGTCACAATCATTGTTTCTGAAATATTGAGTTATAAGGTGCCATAGTAATTACTATGGAATAAATAGCAATTAAGATTGTTCACACAAATAAGCTCAAACTGTTTGCAGTGAATAATTATGCTAATAGTGTTTTTCTACATAATTTGTGCATCCTTCACAACAATTTACTAGAAAATGTGAAATGTAAATTTGATGCACTACTACAAAAGCTCTGAAAATACATTTAGTTCTTGCAATTTTTTTCTACTAATTTAAGAAAGCACACAACTAAAACATACTTCTAGGTTTGTACATTTAAATTCTAAGAATTCAAACTATGCTGAAATTGAAGCAGTTATTTTCTTTCATTGTATCCACAAAATCATTCTAAACCATATGAAACAGGCATGCTCATTGCTTAAACCTCACAGTGTTGTAACACAAACTTTAGCAATTTGAAAGAAGCTGAACTTACTGCTATATAATAAACTTTGGCCTTTTCCACCAACTTCCAGTTCTTCTCCAAATCAAGATGCTTTTCCTTCTTATAGCAATTAGCAGCAGCGAGGTTAGCTACAAGAGACCTGGAAGTAATTAAAACCCAGGGATTAGATCCATAATATTTAAATAAAATATTTAAAATAATCTATTAAATACAATTTAAATTTAAACCATGTATTAAATAATGCATTTTAAATCCAGCTATGTAGTTCACATAACCTATCACTATTACACTGTTCATGTGCCTTCATTTGCTTAGAATTAACCTTTGTTGCATTTTGTGATCAACTCCATCTGCAAATTTTCGTTAAAACTCTTCTAGTTCCTAACACCTAAAGGAAAGCAGCTACTCCAGTTTACCTCCTGAAAACCATTTTCCTTCACTGGAATCAAAAAGTTGACACATATGTATGTCTTGCCTTTATCATTTTCCAATTAATAGTTATATTATTTAAAAAGAGTTTGTTTTTCCCCCTCCCTCATTATGTTCATATTTTCCTTTAGTAAATAAAAAAGGGTCATGTTGCTACTTTTAGATGATGAACCAACTTGGTCTTAGCTGTGTATTACTGGAAAACTACCAAAACCTCATTTGTACTTCATTCTTTCGTAGCAAGTTAGAACACAAACCATGGGACACAACTTGCAAGAACAAAAATACTTTTTATCATATTTACTTTGTTACATGTAAGATACATTCTATTTTAAATCCTCCTCTTCAGCCATTCAATACAGCCTTAAGAAACACACAAAGCTTGCAAATCTACTCCTAAAAACAGGTCATAAAAAGATGGTTATGCACTAGTTTTCCACTCTGTCTACCATGACCAAATCCTTCTGTGCAATTTTATTATGAGAACGTTTAGTAACATCCAATATTTAGAGAAGGAGAGTTGGGGAAGCAGACATTTCCATGCTGGCATACAGAGTTTTAAACTTAATTTTCAAGATTTAATAGTAATAGGATGCACCTTTAACACTAACGTCACTGTTTTGCAATATTTAAATACATTAACCAGACAAATAATGTGTAATGACACACACAACATAAGGCTATTGAAAACTTTTGCCTTCTCCAACATACATACAATTGGTGTTTTATGTATCATCCTTTTCCATATAAATGTTACTACAGTTCAGAGACAATGGGTCAGAGTGAATTGCTAATCTGGTTCGACTGAGTTATGCTTCTGCCTCCAAACTGAGTACCATGTACAAGTGTTAGGAGGTAAGTAAACTAGGAATTTTTGAAAATTTAATTCACCTCAAAATAGCATCTTTCCACTATCACCCCTTCTCTTTGTCCTATTCAATAAAAAACAAACAAAAGCCAAAAAAAATCTCTTATGAAGACAGCAATCAAGTCTTCCTGTAAAATTCCTGAAGCACTCATCACTGACAAATCCTGTAAGTCAAAGAGATCAAGTATATAAAAATTAAAACAGAAAGTTAGACTAACTTTTTCTGAATTTATCAAATACATAGCACAGCTCTGTATTGTTTCATCCTAGGAATACTCTTGGGGCTTATCTCTTTAATCCTAAAGCCTAAAGGCAATAAGAACTAATGTGGATTTTGAAAATTAAAATAATAATAATAATAATTTATAAACAAATAGATCAAGCCTCTGTAGCAGTGCAAGAAGTTTAATTTTTGATGACTGTTATCATTTCAATGACAAGAAATCCACAGGAGAACCAAGTAAATTGAAGAAAGACGTGCATAACGGTGGTAATTTTCTGTAAATCAAATCTAAAAGGCAAATTAAATTTTTCAGTTTTGGTAAACCTAAATATCCATCAAGGATCTAGCTGGAAAAATCTTGTCTGTCTATGTATGTTGCTAAGCGAAAAGCAATTACGTTCCAGAAGACTAAGCAAAGACTCTGTATGTTTCCTTTCACTCAGTAAATGCCCGTGAAACTGTAAACCTAGCTCTCTGTGGCTACATCCAACTGTAGAAATGCTCTGCACATGATATGCAATAAAAGATTGTTACACTGAAGACAAAGCACCAAGCTTTGCCAAATTAAAACTGTAAGTCTAACAGCACTAAGTTCAACATCTGGGACACAGAGAAGGTAGATGCTTTCTCAATGAAATACAGTCCTTCAAATCAAACAGCTTAATGGAGCCTCTGTGCACGTGGGTATTTCTGAGCAGAATTCAAACCAAAGTCACAGATTCTAACAGAGTGTAGGTACTACTATAGAGTTTATCATGTGTTAGGATTTTCTTGAAAAGTTCTGAGAAAACAAAGCATATTAGTATTGCTAAGCTAAAGAATTCAGAGTGGTCATCAGGAATTAGCTCAAAATCCCTTCCTGCAAAAAGCTAGACAGACTTAGAAATGAGAAATATTCACATCAGGGTACCTGAAATTTAAATAGTCACTTATTGGGAAAACCAGGAGTGCTATTAGTCAGCTCCCCCTAAAAAGACAAGAAAGGTGAATTACCTGAAGAAGGAAGTTAGCACATACCTCAACGGGGATAAGAGATTTATCAATAGACAGAGTTATCAACTGAGGCCAGGTTAAAGTGATTCTTACAAATATAGAAAATGCTGAAAACGAAACAATCAGAGGGTAACTAAAGATTGAGAACAAACTTGCTCTCAGTAGAAGAGAGGGGGTTGCACAATAAAGCCTTTAGGAGCAACCATTGGCCAGTTTATTCCATCCCCTGAGGAGGGAAATAAGTCTCTTGTACGCCCTGCACACTCTCAAGCACGGTCTAAAACAGCAATTGAGATGAAGCCACTGTCTCTAGTATTTGAGCAAACATTTGCTATTAAGAGAGAAAAATGTTTTATATTAGCAAACAAAAAATACTGTTTAATAAGTTAAAGTAGAAATTGCAGACATTTTTATTAATAAGTTTACCTAAACTTTTAAATTCCATTGAGATACATTTCAAAAGATGGAGTATTGTTCTTGAATTCATGATGTATGTCTATTGACAGTCTTGACTTTAGTTTCCCATCATGTCATCTCAGAAATTGTGATTGCTATGGGATGCGTACACGGACTCTATGTGACCGAAGAGAGAGAGAGAGAGAGAGAGAGAATCACAGAGCAGAAACGTTTTTATGGCTTGTCTTCTCTTTGAAAAACTGAATATGGATCCTGGAGATGAAGGGGGAAGTCTGTAGACATAATTAATGTCAAAACTCCAGATGAAGATGAACAAACTTCCTTCCTCCACTGAGTATGTACATTCATTCCTGAGAGTAAGACATTATGTATGACATTAAATTGGGAGGGACAGGTTGATAAGCTGGACGACAGGGTTGTCTGTCATTCAGTGGATCTTCAACAGCCTGGAGAATTGGGCTGGCGGAAAACTTGATGGCAAATGCAAAGTCATGCAACTAGGATGGAATAACTCTCATGCAACAATATAGGCTGAATGTTGACTGAATACAACACAGCTTTGCAGAAAAGTACCTGGAGGTGCTAGTGGACCAGGTTTGAAACAAAGTCAGCACTGCACCCACACAGAGAACGTTAAACACATTCCGGTCTATATAAGCAAGCATGCAGCCAGCAGGACAAAGGAAGTGATATACTCAGAACAGAGGAAAACCTCTGTTTCAGTCTTCAGACCTCATCTGGAGTTCCGTGTCTAGCTTTGAGCTTTCCATTACAAGGAAGACACTGACATAATGCAGTGAGTCCAGCAGCAGGCCATCAAGATTATTAGGGAGCTGGAACACTTAACAAATGAAGAAAAGCTTGGCTGAACCTCAAGAAGCAGTACCTAAGGGGAGACCTTTCCTGCCATCTTCCAATAAATAATGAAAGTTTACAGATAAGATGGAGCCAGACTATTCTTGGACACAGGAAGGAAGGCACAAGCTGGAAGAAGGAAAATTCCAACTGGGTATCATGAAAAGAATTTCTCCCATAAAGACTGGTCAAACACTGTAACAGGTTGCCCAATGATGTTGTGCAACCTTCATCCTTGGAGGTATCCAAAACCCAGCTGGGCATGGCCCTGAAAAACCTGATCTAACTTCGAAGTTGGGCCTGCTTTCTGCAGGGGTTTGGAACCAGATGTCTATTCTAACCATAATTGTTCTAAGGTTCTACATGTTATACGGAAAATACTCCCTCCTCTGACTCTCAGTTCAGTTCATGTTGCTGCCTACTGCCTTTTCTAATTATACCAAAACGTTCACCAGCTTCTCAGGAAGTTGGGTGAGGATTTTAGTTACAGGACTGCTATCCTACCTTAATAAATTCTACTAACTCCTGATGCTGCTTTGAAAGGGAAAGATCAGTTCTTTAGAATCAATGGCACTGAAAGCCACAGATAGAAACCAAAAAGGATAATGATAGGTATTTTGCTATTATTCAGAGCTAAAAAGAAAATATTCTTCAGGGTAACTGATATAATTTTAATAATTCCATTGTTCATAGTCTACAAATATAAGAAAGGTTGAAAAGAGTTCTGGAGAAGTGATTTTTTTATATAGCAAAGACTATCTAAAAAAAAGTAGCAAACAAAAACATGAAAGACAAAATTCAGAAGAAATTGTTAAGATGTAGACATACAGAATTACATTTATTAGATGAACTTCTCAGCAACAGCAAAAAAATAGCTTTTTTCTTCCTCTTGTATAAAATCAAATTAACTCTTTCAGTTAAGCTATATGCTGACACCTACCCTCTTTAAACATACTAATACCTGAAGTATATTCCTCACTTGCCAATCAAGCATATGCCTTACATGCCAATCAGCTTTCACATAGGCTGCATAAACACACTTGTTGACCAACTTTTGTCTCCCACCTATTTTCTCTTTCCAGAGCAACTGAAAGCTATGAAATTCGGAAAGCAGTAGTATATTATTATCTCACACTTTTCTGCCATAATACAACTGCTATTCTCTAAAAGCATATTAATACCGCTCAGTCCCAAATTATGAGCCAGACAGTGCTGTGCCGTCTCAAACCAGTGCTAATACTTCCTTTATAATTCAAATCACAATTTTTCATGGCCAAATATTCCAAACAAATTAGGCTCCACACACTACGCCAATTTCATTTATATCTTAGGAAAATATCAAAGGTCCCTGACCTGTTATCACTAGTGATGCAGGCAGCACAGGTTCCTGTTGGTTCTTCACTCTGCTCATAGTAATGGGCATCCACATGAGCTTCCTCAGCCTTCTTCTTTAAGATCTCTCCAAATTTATCTTTGCCAATGCACCCAAAAAAGGTTGCGGCTTTGTAAGGGCTCTGAATCATCCACTGCAGATTGACAGGAAAAAAAAAAAAGACAAAAACCAAATGCAAAGTTAGCACACCTGGTATATTATTTTTTTGCCATTCTTCTCTCTCTGCTCACCATATTTAATTCTGTGCCTATAGAGCACTGTGACATACACAATACTTCTATGCCTGAAGCAAAAAACATCTGGTACATCAAAGGAAGGAAGGTCAAAGAATTAAAACAATTTACCCTTAATGATCCCACTGAGTGTTTAATATTAATGTAAAACTTAAAAACACATAGTTCACTATCAAATAAAGTAGATTAGTAAGTTTTTACAAGATATTTCAAAAGAAGTTCCCTTGCTCAAAGGAGATGCCCCTACACTTACAATTAATCATGGAATGTATGGTATTCTTTAAAGAAAATTTGCAGAAAAGACTAAAAAAAGAAACAAACACACACAAACAAACCAAAAAAACAGAGAGATAGCACAGAAGGAGAACAATACATTTTGGAAACCTAAGGAGAAACATACAACCATCACAACACGTATAAAACCAAAATGGTACTGAAAATAACCATTTGTATCTACCATTTATTTGTATGCAAAAAAAGGAAAAGCTCCCCATTTACATTGTTAAACCACGCATGAAAATATCTATCTCCAATTTTATTAAGAGCAGTTCTGTCACTTGAAGTGTAAAGAAAGAGCATAGCTGCACACTGTTGCTAAGATGCCACGTTATCTCATAAAGGTCCTCTTTTATTAATACAAAATATGTATCACTCAACAGTAAATGTAACTCCACTTTGCACTAAGTTAAAAAATAGCATCTAGCAGCAATGTAAAATCAAGAGTGAACTAAAAAAAAATAAATGTGAAGAAACAATCATAGACCCTACTCTGCTGGTGGTGAGTAAACCAACTGAAGTCATTATAATTGACTCTAATTACAGTCAGAAAGCTTATCCACTCAATCTATAGTATGAATTAAAGGCTACATCAATTACTGCTATACTAAAATCCTACTTATAATTGTTTCCTAATCAAGATTTAAATAAACCATAATGTCTCCATTACAAAGCAGTATTAGTGGTAGCTGTGGGTTGTAGAAAGGTCAAGCAACTGAGTTGCAAACACATGCTTAGTCACATCTTTATTACTTTCAGCTCCAGAGGAGGAAAAAAAAAAATTTAGTCACGTAAAAGTCTTCATTAATAAGGCAATGATGGACAAAAGTTGCAAGGTCTCTTTACTAAAGCAACTTAATATATATAAATTTTAAGGACAAAAAAGATTGTGTTGTCACATGGTGGCAGCGTTCAATCTCTCATTCATGAAATGCACACTACACATGCTCTGCTAATCTATTCCACATCATTAAGAAAACCCCTAGCAAGAGAATCTTCTATGATATCCTTGTATTCGACATACATTTGCACAGTGTTCATTTAGGACGTCTTCGGAACAGTAATATTTATATTTAGAGGTACGGTTAAGTAGAACAGATTATTTAACAAGACTAAAGATGTTGAGACCTACTGTTAGCAAATACAGAACCAATTTCCACAGTGATAAGAACAGAAGTACCTGAAGCCTCGTGTCTCATGTTGAAAAGAACGTCTTACTCTCATAGATAACAAGAATTAAGAGCGATCACTATGAACAGCATTTATCAAAGCACCAAACCCTAACAATTCTTCAAAAAAATGTAAGACTTCAAACTGCACCTTAGGCTTACAACATTTTATCAAATGACATAACTTTTTCATCCTTTATATATAAAGTCTGACAACGCTTGAAGCAGTAGTAAGTAATATTTCACACACATCTCTGAAAAAAGAATTTCTGTTCAAGTATCACAGTTTTGGCTATTGGCAGCAGCTCAGTTTGAATTCGGATGTTATACATGCCACATATAACTGTCACAATCCTTACTTTAAATGTAAGTAAAGTTGTTCCTGAGAATCAGAAGTCACGATCTAGGATTTCTTGACATGAACCTCTGTATATTGTGCAGACCGCTTCTTCCATAAGCAGTGCTCCTGCTCATATTCACAATCATTTGAAACACAGGTATTATATGGTGAAGGAATATTCCCACTATGTAGATAATCTTCTCAGTTGAACACCTGAGCTAAGTTAAGCAACACTGAGGAAGATGGAAAAGTAGTTCAGCAGTGCTTGTAGAAGATCTTTTCACCACAGATCTCCGGTTACAATTACTCCCAGCTTCTTGGAATTATCTCCACATATTTCCATCGTAATGGTAGCGAGGTGGTGTTAGATGCAGAACTCCTCCTCTCCTCAGCTAAAAGGCTACACAGCAGTGAAGGCGAAAAACAGATATCACTTTATAAAGTTGATGAAACTGAACTACAGAAATATCTCTGTGGTATACCATTGAAGTCGCACCTAGTGGAATGAATCACAGCAGGCATCTTTTGCATATGTGTGAAAAAAAAAAACAACACAAAAAAAAGACGAGATAACATGTTCAAGGTAGACTCTGGACCACTTTTTAAAAAATTTGACCCTGGATGGAGTTTAATTTTGAATAACCTGATATGGAAAAAAAAGGCTTCTATGGGCTACTTCACACACCATTGCTGTTATTGTTACTAGCAACATTTTGACTAAAACACTAAATGGGAACAGAGGTCAGTCATCACAAGATGTTTATCACCATGAAACAGGCATGCAGTATGATATCTAATGCACATATTAATGCCAGGTATATGATTATATAAACTGCAAGTTCATTTTATAGATTTATGTGGAATACAAGATTTAATTGAATGAAAAAGACTTCAGACAGAAATGGAAAATGACCCAGCTCAGCAGGCACTAGCATAATGAGTTAATTATCTAGGGTCTGGCTAGGCAGTAAGGCAGCTATTAACTAACTGTATTGACAGTCTGGTCAGGAGAGGTTGGCACCTGGCCACACCATGAATCCTCACCATCACCCAAAGGAATTTGAGGCTGTTAATGGTCTAAAGACAGAAGTGTCAAAAGTAGAAACTTATCATGAAGGAACAAGACAGCCTAAGGAGTGGGATACCACAAAGGAAACTCAAAATCTAGACTGTTTTACAAAATCTAATGTGTTTCTCCATCCTAAAATTTTCTTCTGTCAACACGGCTGGGACATAAGGTACATAGAAGGTCAGGCCTTGACTTTTTCAGTTAGGATAAGTGTCTGTGACAGAGGAAGCAGCATGGGAAATGGAACATGTTTCTGATGTTCTCTTGAGTTAAACAGATTGAATTTTCCTTATATTTTTGTCGTATGCACCCTGGTAAGCTAAAAGCAAATATTAAGATTTTTTTAAAAATTTATTTCTTGTCTTTAGCATAACTGTGTCTTAAAATTAGGCTGATTTCAAAATAAGCATAATCTAATACCAGATTACCCTATCCCTACGGGCACATTATCCCTTATGAACAAATACTGAAGCCAGCACTTCCAAAAGAGGCCAGCACCCTGGCCCCTCAAGGACACACTAGAGAGTGACAGAACGCTTCTCTCGTTATTTTCATGAGGCTAACTTGGGCTCACAGTAGCATGAGTATCTGTTCAAGTGTTTTTTCATGATCAGAGTTAACAGGGTGAACTCTTTAGCATGCCTCAGCTATCAGAGAAGTGTAAGAATCTTTGTGTTCCAGAGTGGGTGGCAATTGCAGAGAACAGCATCGTCTTTTCTTGCAAGATGTTGAGATGCCAAGAAAACTTGGTAACAAGTAAAACTTCTGAAGATTCAATTGTGATTACATGAGACTGCTTGGAGTTAACTATGACCCACAGTTTCACATCCTCAGGCTTGAAAATGTGGTACACCTATCTCCCACTTTTGTCCAATTAGAAAACAGCCTTGGACACAACCTGTGGTCTGAGTTAGAGAAGCACTTCTTCCAACACTAGAAGGGGCTTGACTTTGATTGGCTACTCAATGATGTTATTTGAGAACACTATTCAAGATGAGATGACAGAGTTACCTGAATGAGCCCTTACACCCAAAAAATAAAAAAATGCCCCTTCATACTATGTGAAAGAAAATCAGTGGTCTTAAAGAATTAAAGAAAGAAAGGGAGAGAATTGAGTTCTTTCATTTGTATTTCCCAAGCTTATTCTATTTAGCTTGAGAATGCCACGCTTCTGCCACAAGGAGTAAAGTCTTGTATCCCATATCACAACACTGGATCTGCTTCAAAGCTCTTCTTTACTGCTCCTGCAAAGTTCACTGTAGAAGAGGACCTCTACTTGAAAGCCAAAAAGCAGCAAAACTAAATAGTTGATCCAGTTTACCTCACTATCTCCAGTTGCAAAAATACTTCCCCTGCAAAAGGAATCTTTTACTGCTGAGATTCAATACACAATCCTGTAAGACTTAAAAAGAAACATCATACTGGTGAAGCTTAAGACAGCTTTATTGTCCTCTGACTAAAACAAAGATCCTTCAGAAATTATTTCATTTTACTCTAACTCTGTGGTTTGCGGTAAGTGCCACTGTTAACTGGACAACACCGATAATCAGAACAAGGAGACTGACAAAGACACTTGCTATCAGTCCCACATTGTTCTCCATCTAAACTCCTTAGTTCCTGAATTCTTTTTTAAAGTTGCATCCAGTAGTGCATTTTGACATCTGTCAGTTGTCTTAAACTAACAATGCCAAAGCATATGAAACTTTGCTTAGACTGACATACCTTCTGCACATCGGAGTTTTCAGATGCAGACTTGAATCCTAACTGCCTAGGAACTGACAACACAACAGGAAGCGTTATGCCCCTTCACAGTGAAGGATCTTCAAAACTCATTAACACTGAATACAGACATCTGAAGTGCATCTGAAGTGTGTTATTTGAAGCAGGACTCTGCATGATCTGTCAAATCCAATCTTATTTTAAATTGCAGCTAACAGAGAATAGGACTCCAAACACCTAAAATTAGCTAAGACTTAACATGCTTGCTAAAATCTAAACTAAACAAGGTTAGCAACTACTTATGAAGCATTCCTCTCAGTCAATCAG